GCTCATAACAACCTAAGGAAAGAACTGCAGACAGTTTCTGTCGAGCATGGGATGTGCTGCGCGTTCACACCTTCGCTTGCCCTGCAGTAGCTTGTTTGTACATCTACCTACAGGCAGTAGAAGCCTTGTTTCACCTATTTGCTCAAACTTAATTTAGCAGGTGTGAGCAGCCAGAACAGTAGAAAGAGAAATAATTGAGAGTGAAATTAGGCTGAATTTAATCTGAATACCAAACAGACCCTTCCTGATTTACATCTATTAAGTATACATAGAACATATCAGAAAAGTAGGGAAATTTCTTACACATAAAGAGTTTCTATAAGCAAGGGAACTGAACACCAAGGAAAAATGAATTATTGAAAACAGGTTTTAGTTTACTTGCATAATTTAAGGCTTTAAGGCTAAAAAATGAAACTCAACAGTCATTATGAGATTTGCAATGAAAAAACACAGGTGTGAAAATCTGATGCGATTTTCCACTTTAAAGCATGTAATGCTTCTGATAGCATAATACAAAAGCAATGCTGTGGAGCAAAGTAGGAAAGGGGAGGCTGTTAGTTCAGGACATTACAGATGTTCTTTTAGTCCAACTTTTGGTGGAATGATGTGGTTAATATGGCACTAAAGACATGAGAATCTGAAGATATCTGCTTGGAAAGTGTGCGAGACTTCTAACAGCCCCTCTTCTGTATACAAAAGTGATGGCAGCAGCACCATTCTCACCATCTAACTTAGAGTGTTTAATTAAGGTGGTTAAGTTACAAAACCAGCTTCCTGTGACCTCAGGAGATGTTTTGAGTTTGATACTTCCTAAGTGGATTTCTCTCATCCTTTCCTGCCCTTCTGTATCCCACTCTGTTCCGGGCTATGTGATTTCACTATTTATCTTGAGTCACCTCTGGACTCAATTCTGTAGCTTCTTCAGCCCGATAAAACAGTAAAAACTTGTCCTTGCCTACCTTCCAAAGTGTATGTTTTTGCCAAGTTAGTGAGTCTAGTTGCCCAACCTTGAGATCAATCAGAAAAGCTCCAGATGCAACACAAAGATGTGGGAGAAAAGTAGAAGGAGAAAGGGAGGGAGCAGAACTGGATGGCCTCCCTCTGAGAGCTGCTCATTTGGCTCAGCCACCTGCAACTCTGGGTTCCCTGCTTAACCTAAAGAAGTCAGTATCTCCTGAAGCAATTTAGGGAAAGACTGTATTGTACTATCAACTGTATGTATATTTAAAAAAAAAAAAAAAAAGGAGAAAAGCTTTCCAAATTAACTTTTGGAATGAAAATTTTAACATGTGGTATAAATACCTCACCTATATCTTAACGATTCCAAATCCAGCCTCCAGAGCAAGCTGGAAAATACTCTCTGCACCTCAAAGACTTTTTGTTCTTTGTTAATCTTTTCTGTTTGACATCTCTCTCTTCTATCTGGTGAAATGTTCTCCCTTCAGTACTCCTTTTGTTTACATTTCCGTATTTGGGACTTTTTTTTTTCTTTGGAGCTCAATCTCCGTGAGCTTTTTTGATGTTCTCTTTCAATGCTGTATGACTATTTCTAATTCTTTGTACTCTATGGTCTGTATTAACAATATATCTTGTTGCCATTATTACTCCTCTTCTGTGTTATTGCCTGATATTTTTATTCTTCTGCAGCTGCTGTGGCTACAAGTGTTTGAATATGAGAGAACATCATTCTCTCTATATTTGCTTACATTCTCTATTATGTTTAATTTGTATTTTTCTTTCCATGATTTTTTTTTCTCTTTTAGTCAAGTTTTTCCATTAAAAAAATGCAGTAAGTTATAACAGAGCAAGACATCACAAGCAAATAGGAAAAAAAGCCTCAGGAAAAGTAAGACATCATTTTGTATCAAACCAGACATTTATTTAACCCCTGTCTAAAGGGATGAGTCAGGGATTTTTCTTCTGGTGTTACCCATCTAGCCAAGTATTTGAGCCAAAAGACACCTCCATCAACCGAGGGATTTTAATTTCCCCAGCTCTGTGGCATCTTACAGCTCAGACCTCTCAGTTATTTTCCTTACCCAGGAGACTCCATCAAACAAAGTGGCATTACCTGGAGACGTAGACTTGGTAGGACAGGTGCTTCAACTTGGATGTTGGGAAAGTGCTGGGACTGTAGGCTGTAGGGGTTCAAGCTAGGACTGTGACTGAGAGGCACCTCCTCCAGTGATGGGAGGGAAGCTGCAGCACTGCATAGCAAGTGAGTGGAGGCCTGGCTGTAGGAGAAAATGTGTTTGGAAGCAATTGGGTAAATCTCATTTTCATGCACAAAGCTTGATAGGCCTGACTATTACAGGTTTTTATATTCCCATGTTGCTTATCGCATAAGTACTCTTTCTGATTTTACTGGCAGAGGATCTAGTGGATGACTAACCTCTTTAGGATTTCTTAGGGCCACAGTAGGAACACTGGAAATATAATCAAGACCTTCTGATTTTATGGCACCTGTTTTTCCCATTAGATCATCTTTCCTATGTACATCCTGCTACTCTGCTGATACTTCTAGTGTACTTGTCCTTTGCACCCACGTGTTCTCTATATTTCTCTTCCACCAGTTATATATTTTTAAAATTGATTCTCCTGCATCTATTCTCATTTCCTTTCTCCTTTGTTTCCCTAGCTGTTTCAACTCACTGAAGTTCCCTGTTCCACACCACCTCTGTCATATTGATGCTAAATGAGGGATGCTCACGATATAAAATATGGGAAGGTGGATAAAAAGATTGGTTTGAGCTGTTGAGTCAGTTGCCCTTAATGTAAGTTCTGCTAAGCCTACTTCTTGTAAAGCCATCCTATAAATTTGCCTTCTGTCATAACTTGAAATTGAAATGAAAGCAGATTCACGCACTATTTGAAAACAATCTACACTTTTACACGGAATTGATTAATTCTGCTCAGTGTTTTGTAGGTCTGTTTTCTGGCCTTTCATCCTCATAAATATATGAATGACATCGTGCACAAATGGAAAAGACTTTCTAACCATAAAATGAACCTGCTTTGTGACTGGTTGCAAATCACTCTTTAAGACTTCAGTGCTATTGTAATAACAAAGTTTTTAGTCTTGCTGAGTATATTATCATTTAACCATATTGAGGAAAGTTCTGTTGCTACTCTCGTTTTTTATGGAAGTTTTCATGTCTACCCCTTATATCCCTGACATTCTAGGACAGGAATTCCAAAGAATTTCATAATGAGTTGTTTATTCACATAACATGGCATAAAGAGTTAGCCTCTTTTATGGGCCAGCCTATTCCAGGCCAATGTACTTTGGCAGTGCTTCCATTGTTAATCGTTAACAAGACAGTACTAAAAGAATTGTTTTGCTCTAACGACATTTGGAAGTGGTTCAGTTTATTAATATGCTGCAGTGTGTAGGTCTATAGATTCTCCTGAAAATAAGCAAAATATGGCCTGTATTTACAGGATTGGGAGCAGCCCTTTTCCAATGAATGTGTACAGACAGAAAATACAGTAGAAATTAGGAATAAACTGAATTTCTGCTGTTAAAATTCAAAGATTGGTATTGGTATTATCCACTTTTGTCTTTCTTGAGCAGTGTCATATAGAAATCTGTTAGTTTATTGCTGTGAAGCTTGGTTGATCTGACTGAGTTAGGTCTCGTTTTTCCTGTCATACAGATGACTGAATTTTCCCTTGGGATTGAGGTAAAAGAGCTGGCTTTGGTCCAGACCAACTCCTTTTCCAAAGCAAGGCAGATAAAAGTAAAATTAATTATAGCTCAGTAACAACTTTAAAGAAAGAACAAGTTTGCTTCTAAGTTTAATTAAAAATGAGTATGGATCTTAAAAAACAAAAAAGGTTATGTGTGCACTGTGCTGCCATGAGGGTATGTGTAAATTATGCAACTTTGTTCCTGACACATCAGTGTTACTTAATATAAGCACAGCATCAAACAGAAGATGTATAGCAATAGTCAGCTTTCTTCCTTATTAATACAACACATAGAGTTCTCCATTACTATATTTTAATAGCTGTAGCAGACTAGTTTAATGGAAAAAGATACAAAAGAACACAGAGCAAACAAGTCTAGTTATTTGCGTACTTCATAGACTTCCTGAAGCTGGAAGTAAACAGTGTTTATAGAATCAAAATTCCCTGTCTGCAGTCTTCCTATCCACTGTTCGCTGGCAGTTTACTGTAAGCATCAAAGTAAAAACATGTCTTGGGGCTCAGTTTTAAGTTGAATGCTAATTAATTTGGGCAGGGTTTTCCAGGTTTAAGGGATAATGTTAAAGGCAGTTTTCAGCATAAACAATAAACAAGAAGCAGAAACTGGTGTCTGGCTGGAAATACTGGGATAACAAATCAAAAAACCATTGTGAAGGACCATCTTGACTAAGGCCTGTAAATGCAGAGATGAGTTGAGGATGAAAAAAAAACACAACACAAAACAAAAGAGAACCACTGACTGATTTCAACAGCACTTTGGAAAGATTTAATTTAAAACATAATGTATGTATGACTCATGTCTATGCTATTTTGCACATGTTCTGATTAGTTTCAGTAGTAATCTGTTTATTGCCAAAGCAAAAGCTGATTGTGCAGTCAGTCCACAGAAATGCTTTAGGAAACAAGAATGTTGAGCATGAAGGCACCTTTTTTTCTCTCAGTAGCAAAGGCAGTTAACAACATTTGCTCACCTTGCACTTCTGTTCTCATGAATGCTCCCTGGTGATGAGAGTTCAACTGTTTATGGGTCTGCATGTTTGAGCATACCAGGGAATTGATATATGTCAGAAATAACCCTTGCTCTCATGGTTATCTATTTTTTCTCAGATCACTTTCTTGGTAAGTTTCATCATGCAGCCCCACAAGTAGTTGTACAAACCACTGTATTAAACCCCAGAAGAGGGGCAGGGAGACATTAACAAGACTTAGCTACAGAAAATGCAGAATGTCAAGACAGTCCCTTCCTTCAAGCAGTTGAAAAGTAAGTTTTCATTTTCACTTACTTTTTTCAGAATAAAAATGTGCCTTATTGTTTTTATGGAAGACATATGGAAGGGAGCAGCAAGTACTTCAAGAGTGGCCAGTCATAAATGTCACTGAAGAAGGGACATCAAGATGATCGGTCAGGTAATTATGGTAAAAGGAGCAGAATGGGACACTGCTTTCCTCCTTTTCTTACAGATACTTACTGTATGTTTTCTTGGCATAATTACATATAGACAGTAGGCATTTTCAGGTGCAGCTCTTTCTTTTCAGTGACCATTAAAATTATATCCAGTTCATTCTCAAACTTAATCATGTACTTAATTATCATCACACATAAGAGTTAATTGCTTTGAAAGGCAGGGGGCATAAGAACAAATCATTGCTAGTGAGAAAGTTTCTCTACTTGGAAATTTGCCAATCCAACTTATAATAGGAAGTAGATTACAATCTGGTTTATGTCTGTAAGATTTTTCTTAGATACTGCTTGTCCTTAAGTGTTCTCACTAAAAAAAACACAAATCTCTGTTTGATCCATCCCCTTGATTTTCAGCACCAGCAGAGGAATGGAATTTAAGTGATGTGGAAGTTAAATCTAGCAGTGGACCATTATAGATTGTTTCATATCCTCTGTAGACAGATTCAGACTGTAAGGCAGTAGTTATACATCTTTTAAAATAACTTCATTATTTAGGTGTCTGGGGTAGGATTAGAACTATTTATGATAAGGCTAAGTTACACTGTATACAATGCATACACTGGCCAAGCTTTGCAGTATCTGGAATGCAGGATTACATTGCTGTAGTTAAGAAAAACACAAAGGGCTGCAGGCAGAGCATACGTTATCTTACCCCACTGCTGTGTCATCCTCACGAAGGAGGAAGAATAGAGACCAACATGCAGTTTTACTGGGTGTAAATGACATATATATGTGTATGTACATATTATATATATACATGAATGTATATACTGGATGTTAATATAAAAAAAAAGAGGCACTAGCTTATTTGTTTCAGACCACACAGTTCTGATGGGTAAACTCTTACAATGCCCAGTTTAGAAAGTACAAAACTTAGGGAACACCACTATGTAGAAAAGACTATTGAACAATTTCCTTCCATGGTTACCTCTGCATCCTGCAGTTTTGTGAAACTAGGTATTTAATCCTTTGGATTCAAAGATGTTGGCAGAATTTCCTGGCATTTCCTACGTGGCTAGAGCATCCCTGTCTACCGGCCTGAAATATCAAGAAATTTGAAGTGCACAGCAAATGATGAAATATTTTTTTAATATGTTAAAACAGAAATATTCTTTAATGTAGCTTAAATAATGCTTTTCAATTGGTTAAATGATTCTGGATTTAGAAGAAATCATCTCAAAACATTATGAAGTCAACCAAAAGCATGAGGGTTGTGTCACCCAAAAGCAATTTTGCATTTTGGATTAGGGAGAGTTAACAGCCTGAAGCTACACTCAGACTGCACTCAGGATGCATTGGAACTGACAGAGTTTTCTTAGGGGATCTGGGTGTCTTTTATAGAACTGTAAAACCTTGCAAATTTTATTTCCCAGTTTTTTGAGTGTCTCTTTAGGCAGCTGTTTTGATTTCTTGAAAATACGTGCCTCAATGTAGTAAAACCCCATCTTTTTGTTAGTGGGTTCACTGGCTTGCCAGTGAATGTAACTGAACATACCAAACATATTTGCATGCTGACAGGTGCAGTAGCTGTTCTCCCCTTGGGGCAGGGTTGGTGAATCTTCAGTTGTAAGTAATAACATGTCTGTTGCACTGAGTAATTGCTGCTGGGAAGGTCTTGCTTCAACAGTAGACTTTAGCCAGGCTAGCAGTGAAACTGGCTCTTCCCTTTTTATTTGTTTCTGATGAAAATTGAAGGAATCAACTGAAAAATCTTCTATCAGATTCCTAAACAGCGTGAACAGAATGGTTAGAGCTTTTGAGAGTTTAAAGCTTCAGGTCGCCAGTTAAATTATTGAATAGATACTTGAAACACAGTTTCCCTTTTTCATTGTCACAATCGCTAGTTTTTACATGTAAACTAGTGCATGTGTGCATAAAATGAAGAGAAGATAACTTGGTTCTGTTCTCAGGTTTGCCTCAGGAACTGGATTAATATTCTGGCCCAAGCTTGGGTTGGCTCATGACATCTCTAGACCTGTGTATGTGCTAGTGACTCTGTCAAGAAGATATCTGAGAGCTGAGATTCATGAGCAAGGACGCTTTGCTTTGACTGCAGTTCACACTGCCCTTGCTGCTCTTTGGGAATGCTACAGCTACTCATGCAGCAGTTGCTTTTCTGCCATACTTTTTCTGTGTTTTACAGCCTACCATGTTAAATAACACTAAAATGTGTGATATTCTCTTCAGAGTGTTGGATTCTAAATTGCAGCACTGCAGTGACTGCTTCACAATCAACTGTGCTGAACCTCTACAAAGAGCATAGGGGAAGGACACACGGCAAGCTTAGCTTTGTTAGTCAGAACTGCAAAGCCACTCTCAGATAACTTCCTAAACTGCTGTTTATAGCAAGGTGTTCTGAATCTACAGTAGATCAGTGTTTGATCCGTAAGCATCTGAACCTCTGTGTGGCAGAAATGAAGTATATAGCTGGGAACAATTTTTCATCAGCATCTCTATGACTGCTTAGTTGCCTTCTGGTAATTCTAACTTCAGGACTCTCACTCTGACATATGTATAGGAAAGAAGCACACCTGAAGTAGTCTGATTAGAAAATAACATGACTGCTGCATGCTGACATTAAAATATGGCTCCCAATAAATTTTATAGCAGATTTAAAGACAGTAACAAAAAGAGATTTGTGTGGTCAGAACTTTTAAGTTATATTATTTTTATCTCCATTTAGCAGAGAAAAATAGACCAATAACTGTTCCTTTGACAGTGGTGAGTTTCATTCTCTCACTGTCATGTTAATAGTAATAGTATTATAGTAATACCAGTGTTAGTAGGGTATCGAAGGCAAAGAAAAATCCCAAATAAAAATACTACTTTTCATTATTGATTTTTTTTTTCATAAGCAAATAATTATATTTTGCATATTGCAAAGTAACTAGTAAGTAAAAAATTTAGTTGATTTTTCTCTCTAAAGGACAAGATCCTTATTACTTCAGCTATATGTAGAGATCCATGCAGGGCAGTGCAGAACGGAACGTGAACCCAAAGCCCTGTTGTCCAGTGCTTTTGTTTTATTGCTCTTTAGTGAAAAAAAACTAGTGTTAAAACTTGAGTAATATTAATGTGTATCTGTTATCTCAAAATAAGTAGACATCATGGTTTTATGAGTTTCATAACACTGAATTTCTGTCTAAAGCTGAAGTCCTTTATAATGAATTTCTAAGTTAATATAACAAAACGTTACAGCAGAACACCAAGTTTACATGTGCAAACACAAACAATGGCAGCAATTAAAAGACCCTAGTAATTAATTTTATGATAATGTTTTACATGATTCGTATATAGTCAATACCTTTGCTGTGCTGAAAACCTTTTGTACATGACTAGCTGTGCTGTATAAAGTGTGAGACTTTCATATGAGACACTAATTGAGATCTCTGTCTTTCTGAATGGATTATTTATCTTGTTATGGATGAAGCCTTTCTTTGTAGTTCGGGTAACATACATAGTTTTAGCATCTTGACTGTAAACACACTTTGATCTTTCCCTTCCTTTCAGTCTTTGATGGATGAAGATTCATTAAGTAGTCCTTCTTGTGCACTAAAATTTACTCTTTTGAAATAAGAGACTTATTTATAGGATCTACGAAGATATCCTTCAGATAAACTCAGAGATCATGCATGTTCTTCTATTCAGTGTTCTTTTCTACCAACTTCAGGTGTTGAGCTGTGGTAAAGAAAATCTTACTTTTTAAAAAAAAGTATTTTGATGAAAATTAATTGTTACTAGAACATTTTTGTAGAAAGCACTATGCTAAACTATCCAAGCTGTTGTTACTAATCCAAGTAGTTATTTCTTCCAATTTGTATTTGGATGTAAGCTCTAGTTTGGAGAAGAAGCCCTTCTGACAATACTGGATCAATCTTTTGATGAAAGTGGCAGCTTTTTAGGAAAAAAAAGAAAGGAAAACCAAGACTTTTCTTACTTCCAGTCATCAAAAATCCCTGATTTGCTATGAAGGAAGAACGTCAATCCAGGTGGTGCTGCCAAATTCCAGTATGATAATTGTGTTTCCTACCAAAATTTTCCCCTGTGATTTCAGCCACAGCAGATGTGCTCTGTGCTCTCTATTGTAAGATGTCTGTTACTGGTTTCCTTCCTTCATGCAGCTGACTTACATTTCAGGGGTGACAGTACTTCAGTGTAGCAGATCTTGCTTATGCCTTGTGATTGCTTTGTGAAACTTCTGTGTCTGGACTGTAGAAATGAAAGGCAAGGAAAGGTAAGCTCATGCAGTTGTGAAGAAACAGGACTAGCCTCTGCACAGGAGCAGAGGCTAGTAAGATATCATCTCATGTGATATTAAGTAGAATGAAAGTATTCTGTATTCCAAATATGACAAGGTATCAGAAATACAATGGAGGGCAACGCAAAGCTAATAAGGAACAGCTAACACACAGACACCTTAACTTACAGGAGACTGATCATCAAAACCTAAAAATCAGTTCCGACAAGTTTTGACTAGTGAACTCTGACTGCAGAGGTGGAGATAATAATGGAAATCTGGACATCTCAGTCCTCACTTCCACTACCTGAGGGCTTGCCTGCTGATGCGTCACACAGCATCAACTGTGTTATATAGCTGCTATGATTCACAGTTCTTAAACAGAGCAAAGATCATGGAATATGCTAGGTAAAATCCTAGTATCTGTTTTGCCACAAATCCTTTTGGTCCACTCAGATGATCTCCTATGAGGTCTAGTCTGAGGCTTTGCCTCTGGATTGTGGAGCTGTTCTCTCCCTGATCAAACTGTGCAGCTACTTCCTCATTACATGATGATGAGGAAAGCTGCAGCCCTGGGCAGCATTGTGGAAAAGAATATTTTCAGCGTCCCTGAATTCTGGCATTATAAATAAATGGCATTTTTAAGGTGGTTTATGTCCTTTTGTTCTTGTTCCCACTTCTTTCATATGCTTTCTTCACTAAGGAAAT